AAGGAAAGGAAAGGAAAGGAAAGGAAAGGAAAGGAAAGGAAAGGAAAGGAAAGGAAAGGAAAGGAAAGGAAGGGAAAGGAAGGAAAGGAAAGGAAAGGCAAGGAAAGGAAAAGGAAGTAAGGGAGAGAAGGAAAGGAAAGAGAGAAAGTGTTTCCCTTGAAACTAAGTAGGAAGTGCAGCGACAATAAAATAAAATAAAATAAAATAAAACAGCACTGTTTGTAGGAGAATAACAACAAAAGGCACCCCTCCATCTTCCTGGTTTGGTTCTCTTTCCCTGGCAGAAAACTATTGATTCCTCTTATTGCATTTTAATTAGGAAAGAGAGCGCCGGGGGGGGGGGGGGGGGTTGCCGCAAAGCTGACTGGAGAACGGAGGAAGAGAGCCAGAAGGCATAGTGGAGAAAGCATGGGGGTTCTAAATTCGCCCCAAGAGGGTTGGAAGGGTGCTTTTTAGCGCGCTGGAGTCCCGCAGTCCCTTTCTCCCGCATTGTGCAGCCAAGAGCCACTCTCTCAGTTTGGGGGGGGGGGGGTGGATATATATATATATATTTCTCTTTCTCTTAATGTATTAAAATCAACTTCAAATGACATTGCACGTGCGATCCAAGTGTGTTGTTGCAGCCAGCGACCTGCCAGCACGCAGCAGAGGCTCTGCGGGATGCACCCTTATAAGCCCCCGTCACCCAGAGCCTGGCCCTCGCCGCCGCCTTCCTCTCCTCCCGGGGCTCCGGGTGTCGGGCAGCGGTGAAGGGGTCCTCGGCGCGGCCTCAGCTCACTGGTTTAACTCCAGCGCCCAGACTTGCTGCGGCCAGCCTGTGCGCCCTTTAATCCTCTTCTCTCCTGGGCCCAGGGCAGGAGGAAAGCCTTCGTGTTGCTGCTGCCAGAGGACACACACAAGAAAAGAGGCGAGAGACAGGTTTAAATTTTTCTGCTCCGATCGCCCAGGCATAGAGTTGGGGTGGGGAGAAGGTTTTGGGAGAAGTAACTGGGAGCCTTTAAATAAGTGACGGATTTCTGTTTGCGACATAGACAAACAGGCTCGTAAATTTGCCTTTATGCGCCCGAGTTCCTGGGGGCCCGGATGGGCTGGGCAACTTCTGGAGGTTCGGTAACGAGGATTTTCTGTGCCTGGTGAAATTGATGCGCGTAGTTTTGGCTTTAGGGCGCCAAAGGATGGCCGCAGAGGCGTTGGAATGGGAAGAGTGGGAATCGACAATTTTCCCGCTCTCGGACCTGCTCCCCCCACAAGTCCCACTCGCTTTCCAACCTAGTTTAGCGTCTGGGCTGGCTACTGGGTTGAGTCTCTCTGCTAGTGGACTGGGAGCCTCAGGTGGCTGGGCGAAGGAGGAACCAGTGGGCCTGGCCCGCCATCCTCCTTCCCGGCTCTTAGCAGAAACCAAGCGGTGCTACTTGAAGGAGGCGGCGACCAGCAGTGGGTGGGGATACGCCCAAAAACTCCCGGCGGGCAGGCATCGCCCCGGCCTGCCTTTCCCACACCCCGACGGCTGTTTGGAGACTCGATGCCTATCGATCTTTCCCAGTCTCCCCAGATGAGCTATCTCTAGTTTACTACAGCCCCTGTGGGTCGAAGAAAACCCGGCGGGGCTCTACAGCCAAACGTGCGGCGGGCCTGAGCGCAGCAATTTAGAGAAAATAGTTCGCCAGCCTGGAAATCGCCTCCTTCGGAGGTCCCAGAGCCCTAGCCCAGCGGAACCGCGCTCCAGTAAGTGTCGCCCTCACTGGAGAGGATCGAGTAGGGACTGCGATCTCCAAAGCCAAAAGCAGTATGTGAGACCCGTGCCTCTTGGTTCTCAGCCTTTACACACAAAACAATCAAGGTCGCCCTCAGAACTAGCTCGTGGGCAGTGGGGCAGTGGGACGCGCCCCGGAATGGGAGTAGAAGACCTGACTTGTTTTACCCCAGCTCCACCTCTGAGTCCTCGGGTAGATGACCTTTACCTCCCCGTCCCACTCTGGGCCTCAGTTTCCCTATCCGTACAACAATGGAAGTAGCCTAGCCTCTGCAGCAAAAACCCTTGGAAAACAGTAACTGAGTCCACGTGCATAAATCGACACTCAGGCACATTAAAGTAACAAATTCCTGCAGCATTCTTAACGTGGATTCCCGGAAAGCCCGGGGATGGATCAAGACCCCTTTGAAATTGGAAGCGAAATAGAAGATGTGTGCATTTTCTCGGGTCTGAATCTTCCCTACAAATTAATTCAAATATGAATCTGCTTCCCACCACACACGCGATCCCACACTACGGCCTCAGAGCTCTCCGCAGCCTCTCAAAATCGCACACACAGCAACGCAAACCCCTTCCGCTCAGACAGGGCCTGCGGGTGCTCACCCAGCCCGCACCCTTGGCCGGCGCCTGCAGGCTCCCTGACTTACCAGATCCCTTTTCCGCTTGCTCTCGCGGCCGCCATCCGCCTTCTTGAGTTCGGCCTTGAAGGCTTCGGGGTCGCCGGCCTGAGCGTCCTTGGCCAGCACGTCCATCAGATAGGCGATGTAGCTGGTGGCCAGGCGCAGCGTCTTGATCTTGGAGAGCTTGGTGTCGGCAGGCACGTTGGGGATGCACTCGCGCAGCTCTGCGAACGCGCTGTTAATGCTCTCCGTGCGCCTCCGCTCCTTCTTGGGTCCCGAGCCTTTCCGCCGGCCCAGCCGGCCGCCGAGCGCCTCCAGCCGCGCGGGGCTCTGGCCGGGCCTGGCGTCCGGACCGTAGGCAGCGGTGGCCGCCGCGGCTGTGGGCGGTGGCCCGCCGGCGGGGAAGTCTGGGGCAGCGTCAGCGGGGCTCAGCAGCCAGCTCTGGAAGTAGGGCCTCTCCTGGTGACAGCGCGAGGCCGGGCCGAAGAGGAAGGGTTCGTGGAGCATGGGGTGCGTTGGGTGTGGGTGGTGATGGTGGTGATGGTGGTGATGGTGTGCGTAGCTGCCCACGAGGTTCATGTTGGAGCGGCCCCTGGCCTGCGCCTCCAGCCCGATTAGCGCCGCCCCATGCGCCCGAGAGACTGCCGGGGCCACCCGTGGGCTCTGGGGCGGCGCTCTGCTGGACGCCGCTTTCGGAGAGTCTGGGGCAAGGTTGGAGACAGACGCGCAGCCCACCGGCCTCTCGCGAGCTAGGACGCCGACGCCGGGAGACCTATTTAACCCTTCTTCGGCCTCCTCTTCAGGGTCTGGCTTATATAAGGCCACGGCTTTGATGTCAACCTCTCCCCGGAGCCAATGGCAGGGGGGCGGGGAGGAGGAAAAGGGGTGGCCGTCCCTGGCTTTAAGCTCAGCTAGCACCACCGGACTCTAGGCCGCCTGCGGGGACAGGGAGGTGGCCCCGCCTCTGCCTCCCCACCCCCAGTTCCCGGCTGGGCGGAGGCGGGGGCTACGTACTTGAGGCACAAGCCTGTCAACACCCTAGACGGTGGCTGCCACCTCCTTCCTGTGGACCCAAGGAAAGGCATCCAGAATCATCCAGCGAAAAGAAGGCCTTCATGTAGAGCCCACTCCTTGATTTTACAGATACGGAAACTGAGACACAGACAGAGAAAGTTTCTTGTTTCTAGACTGTACAGAACTCAGAATCGAAATTCTAGCCATTCTCAGTCCTGAGCTCCATCTACTCCCATCAGCCTCAGAGTCAGAAGATGAGAGGTCCTTGCTGGAGGCAGCATAGGCCCTTAATGGTCTCCCCTAAGCACCCCCAGCCCTTAGTCATCATTCCCACCTGGCAGGGACTGTGAACCGTCCTGTGGAGCCCAGCAGGGCATGCTCTTCTGCCCAAGGCATCTACACCATCCCAAAGACTGCCACTGGCTGGAGAAGACTGGAGTGTGAGGGAGGGGGAAGTGAAGGAAGGCAGGCTCCAAGCCCAGAGGCATTTAATGATTTGTTCCGGGCTCCAGGGCCTGAGAGTCACTTTTCTCGCCTCCGGGCCCTAGATGCAGTCCAAAGGCTGGATGGATAGGCCCGAAGCACAGCCACATTGGGTCACTCCACCCAGATCGTCACTGCTTGAGAATGTTCCCTTGTCTAAAGACACCAGCACCAGGGCTCACACCAAGAGAAATCTGCGTTTGGCACTAAACACATACCGAGGGGACCACGACCTCCACGCTGTTCACAAGGCTGGCACAGCCAGAGAACTGCCATGGCAGTATCTCACACCCACCAAAGCAGAGGGACATCCTGGCTGGGCAGACCTCCGCCATTTCCCCTCCCAGCTAGGGCCTCTCTGAATCTCCAGTTCTCTCCACAAGGGCCTTTCCCAGGGCTCTCATTGGGACCTGGAAATCCCTGGGTGGTGGTGTTTCTCCTAGAATTCTCTTTCACCTCCCACGGAGGTAGCTTCCCAGCTGATGCCCTCATACCTGGGTGCCCCCATCCACACCAGCCTTTCCCAGCCAACGGCCTTCCCTAGGTGGGGCTGAGGGAATGCGCCTTTCTCTCCAAAGTGATGTCCAGGCGCAGGCAGAAGATAAATATGTGACTGCTCTTTCCAACGGACAAATTCACTCCTTTATGCACTCATTCAACATTGTTTATTGACCGCCCTCTATGTGCCGGACCTACTAGTACAGAGGCAGCGGGAGAAAGGTCCACTCTCTCCTTGTGGGGATAGGAAAGGTAAGGCCCAGAGAAGATCAAAGATTATCCTTGGGGTTGGTAGCCCGTGGAGATGTACTTTTCTCCTGCAAATACATGGATCCAGGAGGGGACACCACAGGAGAGAAGAGGACAAGTTCCACTTCTGCCCAAGTCCTGGGCAGGTTCCACTTGTGGGAGCTCGGCAGGGCTAGAGGTGCGCAGGGCTGGGGGGAAGGGAGGTCCTGGTTTCCTGCCTGAGGCGGGCTGGAAACCCGCCGCTCTCCCGGGCGCCTGGCGCCAGCAGCGCCGGGGTTGGGCCGATCGCAGAGCCGGAGGCTTGCCGGGAGGGAGCTCCAGGCGCCTGGTTCAGCCTCGGCTCCACGGGGTCCGCGCCTGCCTGGCCTGGAGGCGCTCACCAGTGAGGGTGTCCGGGTAGAGAGTTGTAATTACCCTGGGGAGAGGGACCTCCGTCCTCAACACACACCCAGCCGACCTTCACCCGCAGCATCACGCAGCAGCACACTGGGGCTCCTGATAACCCATGCACATATATGTGCACACGGGCTCACAAAAATCACTGGCATCCACAGAAGCCCAGTATCCACACAGACGCCAAAAAGTATGCGTGTTCCCACGATAACACATTGACACCCACAAGACACACAGCACTTCAATATTCATGCATTCCTAGAATTTTATACATTATCTCTCTGTCACCCACAGGGCACACATCCCGATTCAGATGTGTTACAGCTAGGAGCCACTCCCCAACCTGTAAGCAGGCAGGCATAAAGATACCATCACTCAGTAGAGGCACACGAATTCTATGTAAGTAGCTCACAGCTGCAGGGTTTTACGCATAGTCTTACGCCCACGATTGTGCACAGGCACACCAATTTGTATTTTCTTACAACTCCTCACAATTATCAACACAGCACGGACTTCTGAAAACCTCATCATACATTTCATGTATTCTCCATGTGGAAACTAAGTCTTCAGTCCCGAAAACATACCCAGGTGCACAGCCGCAATGACTACTCTGTACACACAGGTGCTCAGACGTAGACGTTTTCACATGTGTGCAACACTACACACAGTCACACGGATTGCAAACACTTTAAGACGGCCTGACATATATTCTATATTGCCTATACAACCACATTCACAAGCCCTGAAATGAAGTTGAACGATAGAGGCACACTGTGCCAGCACCCACATGAAGGGCAAGCACTCATATACATACTGGCAATTATGCACATACAAATTCACAGCTCCAGCACCCACCCACACACATCCAAGTCGGTTCCCCCCACCTTAACACAGATCACTCGGGGGCCAAATACACCCCCAGAGATCTTTCCTGGTTAGTGTGGTAGGAAATGCATTATCACTACTGGACGATGACTCCCTTGAGGGCCCTGAGAGTGACCGGCAGCCTCTCCTGGGCAAAGAGCAGGGTGCCCCCCAGTCACCTGGGCTACAGAAAATGCTGTTTCCGTCCTCGCACAAGCCCCACCCCTGGGCGCGGAGGAGTGGAAGCCGTCAGCCAAGCGGCGCCCGCACTGGGAACGCAGCCCTAGGGGACCCGCTGGGGCTTCGGGTTTGGAGGCCTCCAGCAGGATGGACGCCACCGAGATCGCCCGCGGAGACCGCAAGGCGCCTAGGCTCCAGCCTCGGCCTTCGGGAGGACTCCAGTGTACTTTTAACTTCAGCTCGGCTCAGGTGCGTTTGGAGTGCGGCAAAACTCGGCAATGGGGACCTGGTGAGGACGCTCTCTCAGCCCCAGGCCGAAACTGCTGATTGAGAGATAAGACACGTGCGTTCCTTTCCCTTTCTGAGCCTCAGTTTCCCCAGTTTCAGAAGAAAGAACTGATAGTCTGGAGTTTCCATTCCCAGTTCTGGACTGTTGCACGAACCCCACCCTTGTTGCTCTCTGCGCGGACGCAGGCTTAGCGCTCCACTCTAGGAGGCCTAATGGGAGGCCCGGCCCAAGTCTGCAGACCCAGGATAAGGAGCTGCGCAGTCCGAGCGGCCTACGCGCCTGGCCACACGCTCCAGAGGGCCCCCCTCCCTTCCGGTACCCCGCCGTGCTCACCCGGAGAGCGCCTTCTGATGGTCTGGCACTCTCAGCGTTTTCAAATGCGCGCTTTTTCCTCCAAGTGTGCTAGTGAGGTCCGGCAAGAACTCTACCCCCATCTTACAAGGCAGAGAGCTTAAGCACAGAGAGGTTAAAAAACTGCAGTAAAGGAGTGCTTAAGAGAGACTGGCTACGGAATCTGGTGCACTTGGGTTGAAATCCGCCACTGTCGCCCCTCCTTATGGGAACCTTAAGATCGTCAGTTTCCTCCTCTGTAAATTGGGACACGGTAACCACCCGCCCTGAGTGCTGGCTTAAGGCCGATTGAAATAATATAGGTGAAGCTCTTAGCACGATAACAGTAAACCTGGATAAGTAGTGCTCTGTTTGGGGGACTAATTTAGCAAGGGAAGAAATGGAGTTTGGGAGTCCATACGACTGCATAGCACTGGACAGGGAGAGTCCAGGCCACTGGTCACCGCTCGAAGTTTTGTGTCCTGATCTACCCAAGCCTGTTTCTGACCGCATTGGAGTCTTCCTCTTTCCCCAACTACCCTACAGAACCCCACTGCCTAAGGCTGGAGGTGAGGGAGACCGAGCTTTGCCAGATGTGGGGGTTCTGTCGCCAGAGACTTGAATTGCTTCCCACCCACGGGCATTTCACTCGTTGTATGATTTGGGGGGAGTTCGGGCGCCCTCCGAAACTCAGTTCCCCCATCTGTACAGTGGGCTGGCTGTACCAGCCGCTCCGGAGTGACTTCGACCTGGGCCTAGGGGTCCTTCTCCTGACCTTGCCCCACTCCTCCCCTTACTCCCACCTCCACCCCTCGCCTCCACCCCTCGCCCCTGGACAGGAAGGCCTGAGAGCCTGCGCCTCAGCGCCCACCGCAAAAACTTCTCCCACCGAGTCCCGTGACCTTGACGCCACCGGCAATCCCCGCACCGGACCCCTTATCTAAATAGGGCCGTAAATCAAAGACCTGTCAGGGCCCGGGTAATTACAGGAACTCCATAAAAAGGACCCGGCCGGCCGCCTGTTTATATTAGCGCCGTGTAAAATATTCTCGCTGTCTTGGGGAATCGCGTCGCGCAGTAACGCACCATAAATCAGCCCGCGGGCCATTTACCCCGCAGCTTGAGCGCGCAAATCCCTTAAACATTTCTCTGCGGCATCTAAAGAGTGCCTAGGGCTTTCCAATCTAGCCCAATCCGCTTCCTGGGTCCGGGGACAGTTAGGGCAGGGGAGAGAGAGAAAGCTTGTCGATTGATTTCTCCTATAACCTCCTAGTGTGAGAGGACTCCTGGACTTCGCTGATGTGGGAAAGCAGCAAGTCTATGGAGAGATCTTGTTAGACAAATAGGGGAAACCGGCGCAGAGAGGGAAAGAAGTTTACCTAAGGGCACACAGCCAATGAGTGGCAGAGACGCCGCTGGAGGCCAGACCTCTAGGGAAGACCCGACTGATGGCAGCCTCTCTGTCTCGCCTTATTCCCCCCCGTTCCTGGGATGAGGACTGGTCCAGCCAGAGAGGGTCCAAGCCACACGCTGACATTCCATTCTCT